TAGCTTATCATTTTAGAGATATTACTGTCATTTTTTAGATAGACGAAACCTAACTAAGCTCGAATGAAAAAATAGAGGAGTTAAATGCAAAAGTATATTGGCTATACCAATACTTTACGCATAGTAACTAATATTGTTAAGTATCAGTAACTATTTTACATTAATTTTTATTCAAAAAATCTATTTTTTTGACCAGTCTTGGTCTTGGTCTTGCAACAGTTAGGCGGCTTTGGTCTTGGTCTTGCAAAGTACAAGACCAAGACCGTTTTTGGCAACACTAATGATAGGCATTTCAAAATTTCCTTTTGCAAACTTTGTAATATCATATAGTAGTCAATAGATGGCATGGATGGCTCTTCAATCTAGAAAAAACTGTAACCTTCCAATCAACATGGAAACTTATTATTTACATTTAAAGTCCAACGTGTCTTTCACTGGGTTCCCTGTCCATCACCGGTACACCCTATAATTGATAGTTATGAAAATTGTTATTATCTCTATTTAAAAGTAATACATTTTAAAAGATTATTTAAACATAACAGTCTGACTAGGTCAGTCACATTTTAATTAATAATGATAATTGAATTTTTTTTTAATTTACTTATTGAAATTTGCAGTTATATAAATAAAATATAACAAGTAATTCGTTACAAGAATATAATATGTGGTAAGATTATGTGAAGAAACTACCCATTGGTAGCACTTTAATGAATATTTCAATTTCTGTGGTTTCTTGACCAGCTTTTTTCGAATGATTGTCAGGAGTTGTTTAGGATAAAATGTTATGATTAGGGGGTCAGGGTGACCAAGTGAGTTTGAAATTCTAAAAAGGAATATCTATTTAACGCCAAATCTGCAACTCAAAGAATATTCAAATCTTTATAAGATACCTTGTACTTAAAATAATAAATAAATTTTACAAGTTTGTTTGGTGGTTGGATAGCTTGTTGTTTTCATTGTACTCTTAAGTAATTTGAAATTTTAAAAAAATAAAGCAAGAAATTATGTGTGATATCATCACATAAATAGTTAATAATACATTAAAAATAATTAGCGCTTTTATTATAAATTCTATTCAGAAAAGAATTTTTTCTTCATGGCAGGGAAAAAAGGGAAGTTTTACCCTAGAAAAATAATCATTTAGAAAAACATACGGCTTCTTAAAATATATGTGAGTAAATTATCATTTCTAAGATAGTGGCGAATAAAAGAACTGAATCATCTGAGAAATTAATGATTGTAGACGCATCAATAAAATTAATTCATCACCTTTTCTTTGCCTACGAGAATCGATTTCAAATTAATCGAGATATGAAATATTCTGATTATCGATTTATTTCACCCATATAAAAGATAACATTTATTCCAGATTCTATTGTCACCTTGGTTGTTCCTTTCTCCAAAATTACCTCTGCTTCCTTCACAAAAGGTAAATAAATAGGGCTCGAAATAAACACGATATGGCGATAATTCCGGTGATATCTATATTTAATGTAAGACGTACTGAAGTTTTGGTATCTAGAGTCTACGATAACTAGAAAAAAACTAAATTAAGAGGAGATTAAGGTTGCGTTGAGGGCGGGAAATATTTGGTATTTTTCTGTGACAAAACTACTTAGCTCTCGGCTCCTGTTACGGAATTATCCTAACTTCGGTTTTTTATGGATCCAAAAATTGGCCGCTTACATTAAGAGATGAGCAACGTCTAGAGGTTTTTGAAAATAAAGTATTGGGTAGAATATTCGGACCGAAGAATGTTGAATTAACCGGAGAGTTTAGACGCCAAATGGGCTAAAGCGTGTGCACAACACCGCCATTGTCCGGCAACCTGACACATGAATCTAATGATATAAAAATAGTCACGAGTTCGCGTCCCGGTGCCGCGGGAGTCTTTTAAATCCCCGCCCACACTCCCTGGCCCGGGAAAACCCCGTATAGCCTTAACGGCGAGGAAGGGGAGGACCCAAAAAAAAAAAAAAAGCCGAATTTCGTGAATTGTATACTGTAAATATGATTTGAGGTGAACGAAATAATTCCTAAACATTTAAAATTTTCTGTGCCGATCGGTAAACGTCCGAGGGGTACACCGAAGCGAGGGTGGGAAGATTGCGTTAAGGCCGATTTGAAGATACTCGGTTTTAACGGCGATAGGGTGGAGGTATGTAGTATGTAAAGAGCGATTGGTGGTGTCGGAATCGAACCTTCGAGTTCGTTAAGCCTTTGTCATATCATATATGTTACTGCATTCAACTGAATACAATTAATCTCTTCTATTCATTATTCCTAGAATTGGTGTCTTGAGGTTTTATTTGTTATATAAATTAGGCCATTATTCTCCAACATTTTATTTATTAGCTATTTTATTACGACGTTTCGACCATCACTAGAGTTATTTTCAAGTCTTATTGAGTCCTCTATTAGATATCCATTAATAATGTCGTATTAATTTTTCAGAGAAAAATTCAATTGTCCTGATATTTAAGAGTTTCTCCTGCGTCATATCTGGAGGGACTGACTTTTTTTTTCAGTCCCTCCAGAAATGACTTAATGGATATCTATTGGATATCTTATAGAGGACTCAATAAGACTTGAAAATGGCCCTAGTGATGGTCGAAACGTCTTAATATAATAGCTGATAAATAAAATGTTGCTGAATAATGGCCTAATTTATATAACAAATAAAATACAATTTATTTTTAAATATGATATATGGTTCTCAAAATAACCGGCGTTGAAAAAGTGTACTTATTAAAATTCTCTGCAATAGCAAATCTCAACAAATAAGGCCAGTTGGTTTGAAACCTGAGCTGCCTCAGTACTGTGCAACAGCCGAATTCCTGCCTTGTTTTAAAAATAGCTTCTTGAAAACAATCGCGAAGATCAAAGGCGTTGTTGTAAAGGTGCCAACTATTGTCTTTTCAATAATTGTCCGATATATTTACTTTAAAAACAAAATATCAAGTCTCAAATCAATGGCTTTTGTAATAGTATACAGATGGTTGAACGTGGATTCTAATTTCAGAAGAAATTAGTCAGGAGGTGCGGTAAAAAAAAATACAATATTATATAATAGTATATTTATTACATTTTTTCCGACGTTTCGACCTATGTTGTAAGTCTTCTTCTGGGCATTCCGTCAGGCACTTTCGAATGCCCTGTGCGTTACGCTCGGAATAGGTTTTGATTGCGAATTGTTGAGTCAAAATAATGCTACTATTATGAAAATTTTATTTTACTTTTCGGCTGGTCATCTTGAGATGATTTGATGGTTTTAAGGAGATCTGTTAAATTCAATATCATTTAAAATTGAACATAGATAAAAAAAAACGCTGCAAATTATTTCACAATTGTTTATTATTTCCAAACAATTATACATCTAAAGTAACATTACCTTTCTAGTTAAAAAGAAAAAAAAATATAAGGTGATTCCAATTATTGGACTAAACTTTTTTTTTAATCATTAGTAATATGCTAAAAAGACTAGCCATTACTTCAGTAACACATTCAAAATTCAAAAACCAAAACAAAGGATATTATAACCTCTGCAATAAAACATACAAAGAAAAACTGGAGACCACATCTTTGTTCCTAATTGACCGATTTTAACAATTTTTTTTTTAGTTTTTTAGGAAATTTCGCAAACTTTAAAAAAACAATATTAAAAAACTTGTTGTATGCTTTTTGAGTTATTCTGAATCTAATTTTACTATCCCTCGTAACTTTTTTTCTAGCTTCTTTTTCAGATGTATGTATTTTATATAGATAAATTTAAAGGGCATGAAGCAGAAGACTTTAGCCAAGTTTCATTGAAATCGGTCCTGTAGTTAAGGTGAAAATGCGCGGACGGCGGACGAACAAACAAATTTCTATTCGTTTTTGAATTTTTTGGTCGATTGCAATGGTTCATCATTGAAAATAATAAACCAAAATAGAAATAAGATCCTTGTTATCTGATGTTCTGGTGTCGGGTAGCTGAGTGTAGGCTACTGAGCTTCCAATGGTAAAAGTCCCAGGTTCGAATACCAGCTCATGGCAGAAAAATTATTTATTCTGTGCTATTATTTATTAAATTAGTTGGATTGATTTTTGTGTCGTATTAGCTATTACAAACTGTATTTAGGACTTTTGTGTGTGTGTGTGTGTGTGTGTGTGTGTGATTGTGTGTGTGTACAGTCTAGCTCAACAACGAAAACTCGTAGAAAACTGATATTATGTATTCAAGACAGTTATTTGACTGAGAGGTTAGAACAACGTTTCCCTTAAAATAAGCTAAGCGGAAGTGGCACTTTATATCAACGATAAAACACATGTTTACAATTTTCTCAAAAACGGCTCTAACGATTTTGGTTATCTAATTAACGATCTCATTATATAATTAAATGGTATTTAATATCATTGAGATCTCACTTAAATGCCCAATGTTGTTATACGTCTTCCTCTAAAGTACTTTTCATATGGTTTATTTTGAAAAAAAATAACTCTCTTCTGTTGACAGTAACTATAAAAAATGGTTAAATACAACTTTTGAAATAATTCGATAATTGAATAAAGGAGGAAAAGAAGAAAAATGATTATCCAGGTCGAAAATGAATATCCGGAAAAAATAGTCAGAAGGTACACGTATAATATACCGCTGGAAAGTAAAGAATTTTAGAAAAAAATAATAGGCTGTGGGGCGACCTTGGGTCGGGAGACCCTCCCGGAGCACACCCATCCTTCATAAAGTGGGTACCCTTTAGTAAATAATTAATTAAGTAAAACCTGGCTGGCGAGCGTGATCTCGGTCAAATCACTTCTTTGCACAACCGTTGATCAAGAAACAGTGCTCTCCCTAAATAGTCCTGAACCCAAGACCCTTCGTTGGATGTAGTGTCACAGTTAATTTTTTTTTTTTATCTGACGTTCATGACTTTTTAAGAATATTTTATTGATTATTCATTTCATAAAATTGCTGTTTTGAGTTATAAGAAATGTATAGTGTGGTTTGCCTCAACCTTTGACTACAGCCCTCCAGCCATGTTGGTGATGTACGGCGCCCTTCCCATTATCCTGGAAGTCCCTGCGGTGAGATGAGAGATGTCCTCCCCAAGCCAGCTGTTCTCTCTATATTTATGCTTCTTCTTTCTTCTTCTTCTTCCTCTTCTCGTTTCCCTGTTTATGGCCTAACCCCACGTCTTTAGCCCTTTATGTAGGCTATTCATGAAATACATATTCTACTGTTAGCAGTTTGCGACAAATTAATTTATATAAATAGAAGTAAACTTGCCTGAAAAAAGTGATGTAACTGTAATATGTTAGCTGTTATGGTAATCTGAAATCTAAATAACTATAATGTATGTTTTCAAATTATATTTAATAGTTTTTTTTTATAAATCTACTCTGAAAGAAGCACGAACAAATTTGTCTTTGCTGATAAAATAGATTAAAAATTGATATATTAATGAATAAGAATAGAAATATACAATCAGAAAGACAAAATAATTTTAAATAACATAAAATTACAACTTATTTTTATTTATTTAGAAATATAATAATCTGTCACGGACTACATTGTCGTAAAATATCCATTTTTCATTTCCTGTTACCAACCTTTTATAAAGGTTTTTTATAAGTCGTTTTCTTGATTCTGTGGGAGAGTGAGTGGCCCAAACATTAAGCCTGGAAACAGCAGAGCTTGTGCAAATGGTTTTCTACGCTTGTGTGCGACACATTTAGATCCATAGCAATCTCTCGCACTGATTGGGTGGAATTCTGACCAACAATGGCCTTAACATTGCTCGTTTCAATTTCATGTGAGCGACCAGACCTTTGAGCATCATTGATATCAAAATTTCCTGAATGAAATCGAACGAAGCCAATTTTACCAGGTGCGTTCGTTTTTTTTTTTCCAATGAGCTTCTATGCCGATAATGCATTATATTTTCTTCCATATTCACAATACAACTGTAACATGGATAAACAATCCACCTTAGAGATTAATTCATCAGATAAGAAATGTATCATAGTGACATAAAGATAAACACAAAAACCGAAAGAACTTATTTGCCAACCCAATATATTTTATATTTTATTCAGTTAGTAATCACTTTATCCCTGTCGAATCGTGAGAAAGCTATATAATCGCTTGATGTACTCCTGAAAGGAACTCGGTGATAAAGCTAAGCAATAAAGAAGAAATGACGTATTATCTCTTTAAGGGCTGGAAGAGCTGTATAGTAAATCCTGGAGCTGGAATTCCGAAGGTCATTGTCAAAGCCCTGAGGGATTGGAGATAATTGAACACTTTTTGTCAGGCTATCTCGTTCCATTATCCGTTTATTAACTGCCTTTTTGTGAGTGGCATTTGCTTATCTGATGGATCCATGATAATTATGTACGGGTTAGATTCCCGTTAGTTGAGAAAGTTCTTCGTCAGCGTAATCCGAGCTCGCTGCGCCGCGTCAATTTTCTGCTTCCATAGCGAAGAAATTCTATACCTTCCGATATATTTTTTACCTGTTTAGGCTTCATACTGTCTGGTGTTTGATCTTGCTTACCGTTGTCATGGTCATAATTGCTGTGTGCTGCTGGCTAATCTCGAATATCATATTTTTTCTCGATAATGATTTTTATCAAGAATTGCTTGGCTGTTTGTTGAAATGGAAAATATTGACCTCTCATATCTCCGTTATCTGCTAATAATTTGATTTATGGACGTTTTGTATTATCAATTCATAGTTGAAATATTCCACATAATTAAAATTATTTTATATTATACTAGGAGCTCACCAACCCCCATTTTACAAATTATACAACTGTTCATTTTATTGTACTACTCGATGCTCAAATTGTATACATTTAATTTACATGTATTCTGTATTCACATTGTATTATTTTTTTATCAACATAAAATAAATTGAACGAAGCCACAGTTCGGACTATACTATATATTACACATCACGCCTTTTTGCCAATTTATATTATTATATAATTAAAATTTTCTTATTACCAATTTTTAACCATAATATATATTCAAGTTGTCAAGCTTCATATAAGTCCAACAATAATTTAAGCCCTTTATTTCTAATATTGTGATTTTAAATATTGAATAGTTGACCGTTGCATTATAAAGGAAGGAGATGGTCCGGGATGGCTGTCATAAATAGGCTAAATAGTGGCAAAACTATTTTATTAAAAGCCTACGTTTCGACCTGACTTTGCAGATCTTCTTCAGGGAGGTGTGTTCAGCTAGGAGTTTCACTTAGAATGAGTTCTTTATTTAACCCTTACATCTTATTATTTTTTTTCTGCGATGTTTCAGGCAATTTTCCCATTTTGAAGTCGAAATATTTATATCATTATCTTATTATCTATGTAATATTATTTTATATAATTATTGTCAAAATTTTCTTTTTTCTTCTCATTACATTCTTCTAATATTAATTTCATAACTTATTACTTATTTATTATTATTTATGAAATTTACAACTGTACAAATTAATATACATTCAGAAAATCTGATATAAAGAAATATATGACATGGCAAGGCTTGTAGAGAATTTACCCATTGGTAGCACTCTAATAAAGCATCTCAATTAGGAGATCACGAGGCCATTTTCTTTTCAGGTGCCTAGGAGGGTAATCAGAAATCGATGAGGAAGCAAGGTTAGAAACGAGAGGATTTAGGATGGTTCTGAAGTATATTATGGACTGTTAGATATCTTTATTGACCAAATGTGGAAACATATGGAACACTCTGATTATTATTGTTATTTTATTTGTTACAAAGTAAGGAGCATTAAGGATTTTGGATTGTAAGAATTGGATACGAGAGGAATTCGATTGTTTAGTGGAGCCCCAAAGCTCTCACAACTTATTTATAAGAAGTAAATTCTTTGGACCGTAAAGAAATTAAACATTTTTTTTTTAAATTAACATCAAATGCTACACATCTTTGTCTTTTTTATACAAAAGCCTCATGTCCACCTTATGTTATTTCCTCGAAATTATTAATTTTATTAATTTATTTATATATATTTGGTTTGCTTCCAGCCTGGACGGATCGAAATTTATTTCGTGTTGGACTAGAATAGGTTTGGTTATACCTCTAAAAAAACATGCGAGAAATAGCTAGGTAGGGGTATCGTTAAAAAAATATTTATTTGGTTTAACGCTTGCAAATAATCAAGCATCAGGCGGTAAACATTCAAGTCTTAATTATTGGCAGGTATTTTTCATTACGGTGCAGTTTCATACTATATGAGGTCTTAGACCTCAAAGAGGGTGGTAATACCTCGAGGAACTTGGTGCTGTGATATATAACCTCGACAAATCAAAATACCTCTAGAAAGAAAGGTGACAAGACCACAACCGTAGCCACGAGACTGAGCGACTTTCTGGCAGGGCTGAAACCGCGAAGAAGAGGAGATGGATGCTCTCGCAATAACAGAGGAGCCGTACTTATTCTCCAGGAGGAGTTATGATCTAGGAAAGACAGCTCTCGAGTGATAAAGTGTACCAGAAGGTGAGTTATTGCAAGAGCACGAAGAAGAGGAATCGATGGAAAAGCGAAGAGTGGTAAAAATATAAAATAATATTCCTATGGAAAATTATAAACAATTAATACGTATAATATATTTGGTCAGAATATTTACCAGACTTTCTGAATATCGATCCTCTGGATATCGTGATGATAGACCCATTCCAAGCGAAAGAAGAGGGGGGAACATGAATGAAGGCCATAAGAGGAGGAGTGAAGAAGGACTTTAAGCTATTAGTGAAACTGACATTACGTTCTTGGTTTGATTTTATGAATGTAAGTCAAGACGGACTTACTGTTTGGGACATATTCCGGAGAGGATGAATCGAAGCAAGAGCACGAAGAAGAGGAATCGTTAGAGAAGCGAAGAGTGGTAAGAGTGTAAAATAATATTCCTATTGGAAGTTATATAAGAGCCAATACGACGGAATTGAAATGATATCAGGATTATTATAGATTAGTGAAGGACACTTCTCACTGATAAGGTTTTACTATACTGATAAGGAATTATAAGTCAGAGATTTATTTAAAACAACAATCGCCTGATACGATGCCACTCCTTCATTTTATATTTTGTAGCAAATATCTTGATAGATAACGCTAGTGGAGTATATTGTGAATATATTAGTTCATTATAGGACCAATCAAAGGCTAGAGTTTCTGTAATAATAATCACCAACAGACCAGGCAAGTTCAACATCTGAAATAGCACATCTCACTTTTTATTTATTCATGATATTCACAACTGTATGAAAGAAATAAATAAATTGTTAATTTGTACTGGCTGATCGAGCTGCCAAAATAGCCATTACTGATGGAATACCTTATCGGGGATTACCTGTAGAGGATTTTATAACCGTCATCAAACAGAAAATGAAGACACAACGGGAACAGATATGGTCGAATGTAACCGAAAATAAATTGAAGGATGTTAATTGTGACGTTTCCTCTTGGGCATCGTCAAATAGGAATAACCGCAGAGAGCAAGTAATTCTTACGCGCCTGCGTATAGGTCATACCCGCCTTACCCATGGATACCTGATGGCCCGTGATTCTTCGCCAACATGCCAAACCTGTGGTACTCCTCTGACAGTGAAACACATTTTAACAGAATGCAGAGCTTACGAAACATTTAGACTCAATTGTGACTTGACAAACGATCTACACTTCATTTTACAGGACAATACGAATGAAATTGATAAACTGTTTTCTTTTCTGAAAGGTTGTAAACTTGAAAATAAAATCTAATTCTCAATGAAAATAAGGCAATAATGACGGTAATGGTTAAAGCCTTAATATTAAAAAAAAAATAAATAAGTAAAATTAAAGAGAAAAATCTAATTTTTATAATAAGAAATGTGCGATTTATTTTGTCTTGTAAATAATTTTAGTTATCGCACTTGCAGGTTTCGGAGTGCGGCAGTCGATATTCTTTTATAATAAAAATAATTATTGATATCGTTAAACTAGTTTTTTAAACGTAATATGACTCTTACTCCTCCAAATAAAGAAGCATTTTTTATAACCATGTTATTATGAATATTATTTTGTTTAAATTGACCAATCTACTAAGCTGGATACTTGTATTTCACGCAACTTAAGAAATAAACTATATACAATAACAATTTTTTCTTTGAAAAAATGATAACTATAAAAATATGTAAATAATAATATTAAACTGAGGTTCTTTTCAAATAGTAATAAGTAGAGGTTCGTTTGTACACTAATAACCTCTATATATCAACTGTTAATACAAAAGGTCGTAATTATCAATTTTTAATTCTTATTCTATTAGTGATAAAGGTGACATTTCGTAGTCTGCATCTGCTATAAGTAATTTGCTACTATGGAAAATAGCAGAGAGAAATAAAATATATATACATTTTTTTTATTTATTTCTTAATTGTTTTTGTTTATTTACAATTGAATTAAAGAAATACATTTAGTAAATTTGAACGTATGGATATAATGACGTGAAAACACTTGTTGAGTAACTACCCAATGGTAGTAACTCTAATGATATGTCTACATTAGGAGATCACGGGGTCATCTTCTTTTCAGACGCCTCGGAGGGTTATCAGGATTTGAAGAGAATGCAAGGTTAGAAACTAGAGGGTTGGGATGGTTCAGAAGTTTATTATGGAAGGATAGGTATCTGGATTGGGCCAAATAGGAAACATATGGTACGTTAAGGTCTTTATGGATGATTTTATTTGTAACAAAGCAGGGAGCATTGAGGATTTTACGAATGATTTCGGATTTTAAGGATTGAATACGAGAGGAATTCGATGGTTTAGTGGAGCCCCATAGCTCAAATCCGTAAGTCCAAATAGGCCTTATTATAGTCACGTTTATGAGTCTTTTGTAATTAATTGAAAGATTATAGTGTTTGTCTAGTAAGTGCTGGAGTAGTCGAAAACGTCGAGCAGTTTCTTGTCGTTTCAGTCTTGTATGAGGATTCCAAGTGAATCGTAAATAAAATATAAAATTCTATTTTTCAGTTTTAATTATCTCTTGTAAAACTACTCAATTTTCACATACGACCTTTGTGGTACTAACGGCGTAGCGATGTAATAAATTATCTGACACGCCTAAATTACTTTGTGCCATGGAAGTGGCTGGGTGAGCCAGTGCGACCTAGATTTGAAAATTTCCGGTAGCTAATTGAATCGAGACGGAAGTAATCAAGTAGTCAATTTGCGATCGGTGATCGGGCCGGCTCATCAGGGACGAGTCACTCAATTATTCTCTCCCCTCCACCTCTCCCCCACCCACAAACACACAGCCATGTATCTTACATTTATTTACCTAAATTTATGGTCATCAGTGTATTTCGGAACAAAATAATATTTTCAATGATATTGTATAAGCCATGGTGTGATAGTTGCCTGTCTCATCTACAGGTATTATGTAATAGTCGCCAGTAGTCCATCTACGATTTATCTTTTTTTTTTTTTTAGTAATTGTAATTTCTGTAGTAGAAAAAGAAGAAAATACTTGATGAAATAATGTTTAAGTGTACTTTGAAGGAAAAAAAAAGTTAATTGCAGGATAAGAGATTAATTTATTATGTTTTTCTTTAAACGTGCATACATTTAGTAGCAGTGTATGCATTATAATCTAAAAAGAGAATATACTGTTATTGATTGAATATTTTTCTTAGATAAATCATCTAAATAAAAATGGACCAATGAAAAAAAAATTGTTAAATAAAAGTTGATAAAAAGTGTGCATAATTTCAGTAAAGATAAAGATTGCTCTGATGAGGAGAAAATTGTCCCGAAACTTAAGAGGCAACAAATGTAATTTAAAAAAAATTGGAAGTATTATTGCCTTAAATATGAAATAATTTTTTTTTTTAAAGCTTTATTTCATATACATTTTATATATTCCTTTTTTTTTTTTTAATAACAAACCTTTTTTTTTTTGGTTATGGTATAGAACCGTCTGTCTGGAGTTGACCTAAAAATACAATACAAAGAAAATAAATAATAATAATAAAATAAATAAAAATAATCAACTTTGGGAACATTAAGTAGCCCTGTGTTATTGAAAATAATATAAAACAACTTAAAACTCTCAGATACATATAATAATCTAAATAAACTTTAATTTGTCAAGTTTTTTAAACTATTTTAAACTACAATAGTTTAAATGCAGTGTTATTTAGTTGATTGAGCGAGGATAATCTAGATCTTTTGTTTTGCGCCTAGATATCGAAACAAACAGAATAAATTGTCCTCGAAGATGTACCATGAGCTCGAAACGTCTATTTCGGGAGAATTAACAAATTATTTATATCATAGTGGAGTTGTTATAATGGGCCTTATATTTATACAAAAGAAAAACAAAAAACTCATTATTATAAGGGAATATCTGTTTGAAAAATCTATGTCCAGAGAATCATACGTTTCGTCCCATTCTGCTGTGCTTCCTGATGGTTAGTAACCAACTGGTGAGATAGAAATCAGTTACTTCATACAAGGCCTTAAAAGGCTGAATTACCTCAAGATATAAACTGAATACAAAAGACGAAGCAGAGAAGAGACTGGATCTAGCGGAAGAGAATACAATAGGAGTGCACTGACCTCAGCCCACTATTTACCGAGCTCCCTCGTCCTTCACCTTATCAGTGTAAGGACTCAGGACTCAGGACTTCGGCAGGATAGTGCAGGACCTCTTCCAATATTGACAAACCAACGAGCACCATATGGCATGTAGTCGATTAGTGACACGCAACGGACATATGGATGTATTTAAAAACCAATAATTTAAATTGATTTCTCAATATATAATTAATTTAACTTTTTTGGAATTGTAATTGAGGGAGTTTAAGTCACAGTTGTGTAAGCCGAACTTTCAACCGTTTTGGCTTAAGTGGAGAAACCCAATCTAGAAAGGAAGAGTATTTCTTAAATGACAAATTAAATACTTTTGTAATATATTTAAAAATTATGTGGGAACTTTAGTAAATTGCTAAAACTTAATTTTATTTATTTTTTCTATTTTGATTTACTGTACACTATAAACTGATATTAACTTAAAGTAAATAGGTAAAGCATTTTACCTACTTCACGGTAATATAAGTGTAGAATTTTTTATTTTTTTATTTCAGAAAATAATTTTATTCTGGGACGAAGTCCCTTTAGAATAACAAAAAATTACAAAATTAAAGTATTATATCTGGCCTAAGTAAAAATAAACATAAAAAGTAAAAATAAAGACAAGAAAAGTAAAGAAAATATTAGTTAAAGATACTATGTAGATTGGTAGAAGGAGACGATTATCTTACTCATATTCAAATAGAACCAGTGTTGGATCCACATAAGGGAAAAAGGGGGAAATTTTCCCTTCCAAATCATCCAGGAAAAAGAAAATGTGGGTATTTAAAATATACCAACTTTCACTGGTATATTCCCGGAAAAGAGAAAGGAGACTTCACCTCCAGAGAATAATAATTATTCTTTAATAATTTAATTTAATTTTATTTATTTATTTATAAATATAACAATCTTTCACCTGAAAATAATTATATGAACACATTTATATCATATATACAGACAATTTTAATAATTTAATAATAATTATAATGAAATATAATAATAATTTCTATTTCAAGCTGTTGATTTTTTTTTCATTGGTCCTTATTTGTTTCTTTGAGCTAAATAAACACTAAAAATATGTACACTTATAAAAATATATCGCTAGAATTTCAGTTAAAAAATATAAGTATGTGTTAAGAAAACAAAATCAAACATTTATCCCTATAAGCAGTATTGTAGAAGT